GGAGCACAGCGGCTGGGCCACACGGTAACTCTGGGCTGGAAGCGGCTGCGTCATTTTCCACCCCATCTGCCGTGGATGCGGGGCCTCAGCCTCTCCGGCTTCTCCACGGCCTCCATTCCCACCTGTGCTTTTTGGCAGATGTTCATTTCCCTGAGGGCTAATGATATGGAGTCCCTTTTCGTGCGCTTATTGGCCGTCTGTGTATCTCTTTGGAGAAATGTCTGTTCAAGTCCTTTGCCCGTTTAAAAAAAGTCTTTCTTTAATCTTTATTTATTTTTGAGAGCGAGCGAGCGAGCACGAGTGGGGGAGGGACAGAGAGAGAGAGGGAGACACAGACTCCGAAGCAGGCCCCAGGCTCTGAGACATCAGCACAGAGCCCGATGCGGGGCTCGAACTCACAAGAGCAAGTTCATGACCTGAGCCAAAGTCAGATGCTTAACCGACTGAGCCACCCAGGCACCGGCCTTACCCATTTTTAAATTGGGCTTTCGTTTTATTATTGAGTTATAAGGTGCCTTGTACATTGCTTACCACAGAACTGGAATCCGCCGTTCCTTTAGGGAGCCCTGCTTCCCTTTGCTGGGAAGTCCCGTTTAGAGACCACACTGAGGGCTGATGTTCTCATCGCTGCTGGTGGGTCACGTGGTTAGTTTCTGTAAGACAAAACGCATCTGGAGTTTCTGCTGGTACTTGCAATTCGCATTCAGCACCACCGGGGTTTTCACTTAACCTCATCAGACTCGTGTCTTAATTTTTTTCCTCCCACACTGAATCTGAGATCTCCTCTGGCTGCCTTGTCTTTAGTCCGTTTGAGGAATGACAGCCAGCGTCTTGCGGCTGGAGTGGCCCTCGGAGAGCTGACTTCGGGAGTCCCTCACTGCCCAGCCCACTTGTTCCCCAGTGCTTGCTGCACAGGAGAAGGAGGCCGCCTCCTCTGCTCTGTGGCTGCCTCACCCCTCAGACTTCAGGTGGGAAGGTCCCTTCTTTTCACCATGAAAAAGCTAGACACCCCTGTGATTTCATTCTGCTGCTTCGGTCCGGGAAACTCCCAACTGGTGGCCTCCATGCGGTGTCCTTGGCGAAGGACTTGTCTTAGGACCGCTGAGCAGTGGAGGGGCTCTGTCATGGCCCGAACCCAGAAGACTCACAGGGCCAGAAGGTGACTGAGGATGGACAGCGAGGGGCCGGGGTGAGGGGGGGAGCAGGGTTGGTGGCCACTGCCCGTAGACTGGTGCGCTTCTCAGGCACGGCGTGTGAGCCTGGGAGGATTGGCCGCACCTCGTAGGGGCCCTTTTGCGGCCCGTGTGCTCTCTGCCGGACGGGGGCTTTGTCTTAGTGCCAAGGAGGAGATGGGAGGACCACAGCTCGTACTTTGACTTGTTGAAGGTCACTCAAGATGGGAACATCACTGTGATCGTTTTCAGCACGAATAAAATGAGCACAGAAATAAAGTATTATGCACTTAGAAAGATACTCTTCCCAATACCCTTTGGCTTTTGAAGACTGCTTTTCAGTGGACCGGTCGTTGTCTGGTTCACAGTCACCGGCTGTGCGCACAGTCTGGTCTTTTCACACCTGTGCCTCAAGAGGGCTGAAAAGTCTGACGTCCCTCTCGGAAATTCTGCCTTTAGTAGGAGTCAGGCTCTTGCCGCACTGCCCATGGCCAGCTTTGACCGAGATTAGGTTTTTGGTGCAGTAGCCAGACGTGCGCACCTTCTGGAGGTGTTCCCTTCTGCCTCCTTCTGGGGCCGGAAGGGTGGTAGGGGTGGAAAAGCTGCCTGCCCCTTTTGCACCCCTCCGTGAGCCAAGGCTGGCAAACCGGCGGAAGGGAGACTTTCCGCCACCACGTCGTCGTGTGGGAGTTCGGGTGCGCGCTTGTGCTGATGTGCCCATCGTTCCGTGACTCCTGCACCGTTGCTCAGCTGCCCCTCCAGAAAGATGGCATGCTAGTCATAATTGCTCGTGAATCAGTGAAGAGTTAGTGGAGTTTTCTCCTACGTCAGCCGATGCGAGGACACATACCTCTCTCTGTTCTTCGCCCTGCTTGTGGAAAAGAGTAATGTGAACATGGGCCTTCCGGGATGCTTTGGTCTGGCCCTCTGACCCCCTCTGACACAGCGATGCTCTTCTGTGCAGCCCGGTGACTTGCTCCCCCTCCCACTCCCTGCTTTCTCTCCTCAACCCGTCATCTGTCTCCTTACTTTCAGTCTCGTCCTGGCCGCAATCACCAGCTAGGTAACTAGTGTCCAAGTGCCCATGAGATTTTACTTAACTTGTAAATTGTGAGAACAGGAACATAGGAACATTCTCCTTTCTTTGTCTAGTACTTGACTCTTAGAGATCTTACTTCTGTGTCTCCAAGAATAGGCAGCTGCTGTCCTGTCCTACAGAGTGGGGTGATGCTGATTCCAGCTGTACTGAGCATGCCTTTGGTTGTATTTTCTCGTTTTAATTAGTATTTCAGAAGTAACACGTGTTCATTATAGAAAATTTACAAAAACGCGAAGAAACAAAAGCAAGAAAATTAGGGGTGTTTCATAGCCATACTTTCTTTCTAGATGTGTATGGTTTCCATTAAAAATGTTTTTTTCAGTGTTTGTTTATTTTTGAAAGAGAGCGCATGAGTTAGGGAGAGGCAGAGAGAGAGGGAGACGCAGAATCCAAGGCAGGTTCCAGGCTCTGAGCCGTCAGCACAGAGCCCAATGAGGGGCTCGAACTCACAGACCGTGAGATCGTGACCTGAGCCGAAGTCGGACACTTAACCGACTGAGCCACCTGGGGGCCCCTTCTTGTTTACGATTTATTTCCAAAACATACTGTATATCTGCCATGGGACCACCTGGAGCTATTTTCCACCAAACATTGTATTACATTTTCTTTCCGTGATATCATATATTCTCACGAGTTTGACTTGTATTGGCAACGTAATGGTCTGTTGCTCGGTTCTGTCGTAATTGACACAATCTGTATCTAATATTAACTATTTAGTTACAGAGCATTGAGTCTAATTTTATCTATTACATATAATGCTGTGATGACCATCCTTTGCAGCTTATTTTTTGCATACATCCATGACGTTTTCCTTGGGCTAAATTCTTTTTTTCTTTAATTTGTTTTAATGTTTATTTATTTTTGAGACAGAGAGAGAGAGAGAGAGAGAGAGAGAACGACTGGGGGAGGGGCAGAGAGAGAGGGAGACACAGAATCCGAAGCAGGCTCCAGGCTCTGAACTGTCAGCACAGAGCCCGAGGCAGGGCTCAAACCCACAAACTGTGAGATCATGACATGAGCCAAAGTCGGACGCTCAACCTACTGAGCCACCTAGGCACCCCTCCTTGGGCTAAATTCTTATAAAAAGAGTACAGATATTTAATTTTGACACGTACTGACAAATCATCCTCTAAGAAGGCTGTTCTCAAAGGACTACTCCTACCTACCGTGTCTGGAAGGTTCTGTTTTGTTACCATCAAAGCTGGAGAGTCCCTGATGACTATTGAGCACTGATGTTTATGTCTGTGAGTTTCCTGTTTGGTATTAGTTTTGATGTATTTGTCTTTTTCTTCTAGTTTTCATGTTTCTGACAGAATCCTTGTGCTCGGGACGATATTAACCTTGCCTTAGCCCATGTGTTGTGATTCGTGTCTGTGGCATTTTGAGTGTGGAGAGGCCTTGCAGTCTCATTCAGGGGCATGTCGATGTTGCCCACTCACGCCCATTGCTGCCTCCTCTGTAACTTAGAAATGGGTATTCATGCTGAAATACTGAACCTTCCCCCCTGCCCCCAGACGCAAACAGGTCTTACCCAGATGTCCATCAACAGGAGAATGGGTAAAGAGACGTAGGTTTGTGCATACGTTGGAATATAACTCAGCAACGAGAAGGAACAGATTCCTCGTGCGCATGATGATGTGGACGGTCATACTGAGCAAGAGAGAAGCAGAATAGAGACAGGGCAGGGCAGGATGGTGGTTGCCCGGAGCTGCGGCTGCTGGGGGAAATGAGGAAGGGCTGGTCACGGGCACAGCTTCTTTTGTGGGGGAGCAGAAGTAGTAAAAGTCGCAGTGCTGAGGGCAGCTCCACCGCGAGCAGACAAAACCATCGCGCCGGCTTTTACGGCACGTGAGTTAGATCGCCCCACAAAGCTGTTCAGACAAGATGCGTGCAGGAGAGTGCATACTGTAATGGTTCCGTTTATGTCAAGTTCTGGGCAAATGTAATCTGCGAAACAGAAGTAAAACCATGGTTGGGGTGGGGCAGAGGCTCTGGAGAGAGCGGCGGAAATGTTCAGTATTTTTTCGGTGGTATTTACACGGGTATTTGTGATCATCCGACCCCATCAGACTGGGGAAAATTGCATTCTAGTTGAGAAAAACAAACAAACAAACAAGCAGGCCCTGATCTTTCTCTCTTTTTCTGTGTAAAAAATATATTTTCCAAAGTCACGTCTCCACTGGGTAACAGGCCGTTAACTTTCTGTCGGTCAACAAAGATGCTGACCAGTCATCTCGGGATACCAGCTGCCGCCACACCCGGGGCCACCTCGCTTTGGGAAACCACCCTCCCCATGCTGGAGGTTTGCTCCTTAACATAGGCAGCGCCCTGCACGTTATAGGATGTAATTTAATGGCTTTCAGGAACTAAAGAGTAGTTCTCCCCCCACAAAGGGGCTGGGAATCTGTTCTGCTGGAATGTAATTTCAGTGTTAAGCTTCGTCATTTTGAGACAGCAGGGTTTGACATTTCCCTCTTCCAAGAGGAAGTACCTTTATGTGTCTTGCAACGTCTCAACACGCTATGAAGGTATTTTTTGGAGGGTAGGGGACATTTTGGGAAGTTCAGATTCTCTAAATCGAACAGTACTTGCATTAACGGTGTGCGGGAAATCTCCAGGCACAAAAAGAGACTGGGCGGAGGACAGACAGCTGACCTGCCTCGGGGTGAGAACCGAGCAGCAAGGAGCGGTCGTAGTGCCTCATGGCTTCTCTCTTGTGTGGGGTACAGGAGCTGGTCAGACTTACCATCGAGAAGCAGGGGCATCCGTCTCCAACCAGCCCAGTGAAACCCAGTTCCCCAGCCTGCAGACCTGACGGGTGAGTTCTGACTAAACCCTCCAGCCACTGGCCACTTGGGTCTCCCCTTGAGAGAGAGCGTGAGCCCCATCAGGTAGGCTGTTGGTGGCCTGTGTTGCTTTAAAGTGTGTCCAGCTCGCTCATGTTTCGAAGTGTTGCCTGATCTCAGGGTTAGCGGTCAGCGTGACTCTTTCTCAGGCTGCTGCATGAGACCATGACCCCCACCTGTGCTTTTCCGGAGCCACTTCCCTCCGTAACTGGAAAGAGCTTAGAGGGTTGGGTTTTGGGGATTGGGCTAGAGAGAACTGAGCTTCATCAAGAGAGTAAACTGCTGAGGGCAGTGTGGACAGTTTCAAGGCCTTGTAACCATTTCTGCTACAAGCTCCTAGTAAAAATATAAAACATAATAATTTGGAGCATGTCGAGAACCTTTAGACCATGTCTTCTGAGGTTTCCTCTTACAGACAAGGAAACAGATGCAGTCGGGGGGTCCTGGCCGAACTCCTGCTATTTTTGGTGATCAAACAGACGTGAAACCCCATCTGTGCCATAGAGCTCCAGGGACAGGGTCCAGGGCTCCTGCTGCTCAGCCCGGTGCCCTGCCTCGGTTCCATGGCCCGGTCACATCCTGCCCCGCTCGGGACCTGCGTGTGTGCTCTGTAACCTTCTGTAATCCCAGGTTCTTCTCATCCTCCAGCCAGTCTGAGGTCCCCCTGACAGATCGAGAGATGGAGATTCTGAACAAGACAAGTGGCCTGTCCCAGTCAGCCGAGCTGCTTCCAGACTCTACAGATGAAGAGGTCGCGCCCCCCAAACCCCCCTTACCTGGCATTCGGGTGGTTGACAACAGGTAATTTCTTGTTTTTCTGGTACCCTCTTCTGTTTATGATGTAATCTGATAAATGGGTGGGTAGATGAACCGAAACGAAGACGGTGCCATTAGGGTAAGAACTTGGAACCCAGCCCGTCGCTCTTTAGAAGCCTTGGAATCTTGATCACCCTTGGGGAGGATCATCTGTGGAGGACCTGAGCCCGGCCCCAGCGCCCGCCCTTGCCGCGCCCTCCAAGAATTCCCAGCGGCTTGCCTCTTAGCCTTCCTACGACTTACTATGGAAGGAAGAGAAAAGATGTTTCTGATTCTTGGTGTTTTGGCATTGATAGGTTTTCTTTTGGCAGCAGTGGAGTGGGACGGGAGTTAGAAGTGTTCAAAGTAGGTGTGAAGTGTCTGGTAATGAGAGAATCCCACATTCTGTACCCTGACGCCTTTTTAAAGAGCTTCTGTTTGGGTTTTCGGTTTGATAGGATTTCTCAATCTCTTTCAGTCCTCCACCAGCATTGCCACCGAAGAAAAGACAGTCAGCTCCGTCCCCGACCCGAGTGGCCGTCGTGGCCCCCATGAGTCGGGCCACCAGTGGTTCCAGTTTGCCCGTTGGAATTAATAGGCAGGTAATGTCGCCCCATCTGGAAGGCAGAGGAAGGCTTTGGGTGTGGGAATTTGGCTCCTGAGGCGAAAAGAAACCCAGTGGTCTTCAGCCCCTGGCAGTGGGAGGACCGTTCCTTCTCTGTACGGGGCCACCAGACGGGGTGGAAGTTCCCGCGTGGGGGAGGAGGTCGGGGTGGGGAGGCTGGAGCCAAAGAGCGTCTCCTGCGGACATCTGAGGCTGGCCCTGGGGCCCTCGCTGGCGACGCACTCCCGGCACTCGTAAAGGCTCCTTTCTCAGGAGTCACAGACGCAGCTTGTTAGTGCTTACATCAAAGACGGGCCTTTGCAGCCGGTTTCTGAGCTTGGCAGTCTCCTCTAAGTCAGTGTACCGATTCCTCTCCCCTGGGCTCTGCCACCATTTCTCAGAAGTGACTTGGGCCTGGTTTTCATTTCTCCACACCAGGATTTTGACGTGGACTGTTACACACAGAGGCGGCTGTCAGGAGGCAGCCACTCATACGGCGGAGAATCGCCCCGCCTGTCCCCCTGCAGCAGCATGGGCAAGCTCAGCAAGTCAGACGAGCAGCTGTCCTCTCTGGACAGGGACAGCGGGCAGTGCTCCCGGAACACAAGCTGTGAAACACTAGGTGGGCTCAGCCATCTCTCACCTCTCCTGTCTCTCCGCTTCTTGGTGGCCGCTTTGGGGTCATACGGCGATGCCAGCCTTGGTCCTGCGACCCTGATCTGTCTCTTCGACTGCAAGATGGGGCTGCCGGTATCTGTCTGTCCCCAGGAGGTTGAACGTTTAGATGGAACAACCATGTGAAACTGCCTGGGAGATGCTCAGATGGTGGCTATTACTGTGGTTAATCCGGCAGTGTGTGATCTGACTCCCGTGGCCAAAATTAAGAGCCATCTGTGCTCAGAGCTACAGATGACGGGGAGAGCCCCTGACGGCTTTGCTTTTGACGGAGGGTGAGGGCAGGTGGGCAGCACATGCTGACCTCCCGGTCGGTGCTGAGCGCGTGCCGCGGGGGCCGGAGGAGAGTCCGGAAAGGCAGCTTGGTGCCAGGGTCCGAGAGCATGAAGCTGTTCGTGTCCCGTGAGCTGGACATTTCACTTTGAGGGTTTAATCAGAAGCTTGTAGCAAGATTTCTTTTTTTTAATGTTTATTTATTTCTTTTGAGAGAGAGAGAGAGAGCTTGAGTGGGGAAGGGGCAGAGAGAAGGAGACACAGACAGTCAGACGCAGGCTCCGAGCCATCAGTGCCGGGACCACGAGATAATGACCTGAGCTGAAATCGACAGTCAGACGCTTAACTGACTAAGCCCCCCAGGCGTCCCTGTGGCAAGATCTATCCCAGGACGTTACTCCCGGCATGACTGGGAATAGTGGTGGCCCAGAAGCAAGCTAACTACTCAAGTGTTAGGGAATCCGACGAACCGTCATGCATCCGCTTGGTGGAGTGATACATAGCTATGAAAAGTCAATCATGATGCATTGAGTAATGGCCAAAATCCAAGACCACTGACCTAGTATTTTCTCAGTTGGGTGTTTAAAAAATGAATCCTAGGGGGGAAAAAAAGACATGTAAGGAAATACGTCAAATTGTAAACAGGTGATAGTTAAGTAATGCGGTTGTGGATGAGTTTTATTTTCTTGATTTTGGTTTCTTTTTTTTGCCACATTTCCTACAGTGGTCATGCCTCTTTGTTTCTTTCTTTCTGTCTTCCTTTCTTTTTCTTTCTTTCTTTCTTCTTCTCTTTCCTTTCTTTCTTTCTTTCTTTCTTTCTTTCTTTCTTTCTTTCTTTCGAAATTCAAACGATGGAGGCAAATAAGCAAACAGCCATCTTCCCACTCGGCTTTACTTCTGTAAGCAGGGAGTAGAATGAGGAGTATGAAATGAAGCATAGAGATGAGACGGGGATGCTGTGTCCTCACGCTGTGATGAATGGCACCGGGTTAAGGGGAGGGTTGGATTGTTTCTTTCTGTGGGGCCTCGTGACTGACGGGTCATGTTCTTCCCGTTGTGAATGCAGATCACTATGATCCCGACTACGAATTCCTTCAGCAAGACCTCTCTAATGCAGACCAGATACCTCAGCAAGTGGCCTGTAATCTTAGCCCGTTGCCGGAGTCCTTGGGAGAGTCTGGGTCTCCGTTCCTCGGCCATCCCTTCCAGTTGTCTCCGGCACCTGGCAGCTGTCCCCAGCAAGAGGGGTCCTCAGCTCCAGGACAGCAGATGGACATGCCGCCTGCCCTCCCCGAGAAGAAGCGCAGGAGCGCGGCCTCGCAGACCACGGACAGCTCTGGCTGCAGGGTGTCCTATGAGCGACACCCCTCGCAATACGACAACATCTCTGAGGTTGACCTGCAGAACCCAGCCTCGGCCCCGTCTGTCCCCTTCACGCCCTTTGCTGCTGTTCTCCCCTTTCAGCAAGGAGGGTCCCCAGCCTCTGTCGAGTTTGTGGGTGACTTCACTGTTCCTGAATCATCGGGTGACCCGGAAAAACCGCCTCCTCTACCAGAGAAGAAAAACAAACACAGTAAGCTTTTGTCCAGCCATTGTCAGCAAGCACATTTTGTCACCTAAAACAGTGGTGTGTTTTATTTAAGCATTAGGCCGAAATCAAACCGGTGGCCTCGTGATTTCATAAAAGATAGGGCCTGCGGCACGTGGACCCTTCCAGGAGCCTTGTCTTGTCCATATTGGTGATGGTTTTCAGAGCCCGATAAGCCAACCTGTCCTGCTCTAAACCCTCGGGCTTAGCAACCTATGGCTGCTCTAAAACCTCGGGCCAAGCCTCCGCAGAGCCCGAGTGTTTGGCCAGAACACGCAGCAGCAAAGAGAGACGAGGGTCCCAGCTTCAGGACAGCATTACAGCAACATCAGGGCAAAGCAGGGTGGACATTTGAATTTAGTTAGAGCTCACCACGCCCACAGAGGGGTTTTCTGAGGATCCCCGAGAGTGTGCTATTTAGAGAGGTCCCTGGTACCCCCGCTGTCTTCTGTTTGCAGACACGAAATGTCATGTACTGACTTGGAATCTGGGGGCACCTGGTTGTAGTTGCTGAGGACGTTTCTTAGACCACATATTTTTAATAGATGATGTTCTTGGGGCCCAGGGATGGAGCTGAAATTTTAGATTTTTGTATTTTCCAACTGTAAATTTGCCATCAGGTTCCTAAGTAGAGTTCTACCGGAGACTGTTTTTCTGCTAGTTCCCGTAACAGCTGCCCCGCCCTCCCCCTCTCCCCACCAGCCAGGCTCTGCTTGGCCCTTCTGCGGCACTGGCTGCCACCACGCAGATGTGTGTGTGCTCGCGTGGGCCACACAGCCCCAGGATTCCCTGGCCTCAGTCGAAGCATCCAGCAGAGGACTTCCACCAACTAGGACTTGAATCTCCCTTCCAGTTCCCAAATGAGAGCATCTGATTGGCCCCTGCTAGAATGGGACCCACTCTCAAAGAAGGGGAGACCCGGCCTGGTTAAATGCGGCAAGGACGGCCCCGAGGGCAGCCGGATGGGCCTTGTCGCCCAGCTCCTTGCTGGGTGTCACCCAGCATGTGTCACAGCCTGGGTGGTATGGTCTCCCCGCTGGAGGGAGAGCTGGCCGTGCAGACTGATGAGGTCGTTCCCACCTGTCGTTCGCTCAGGAGAAAGCAGGGCACTACTGGTGGGAGTCACCAGGGGCAGTGCTAGGGACGTCTCCCTCTACGCGAGCAGGTGTCTAGGGAGCTACTGGCCCTTCCCCTCCACCCACCTGACCTTGACTTGAGCAGTGTGCCAGTGTGCCGTCCTGGGCTCACACCGTCTCCTCTCCCTCTCTCCCCTCTCCCCTCTCTCTTCCTCCCCTCCTCTCCCCTTGTCTCCCCTCCCCTTTCCATTAAATTATCCAAACCCAGAATGCAGGGTAGGATTGCATCCATGCAGACTGCAACAGATGTGTGGTGCCTGGCCACGGAGCCAGGGGCCTCACCTTCTCAGCTCTTAGAGCAGCTCAGGGCACGCAGGGGTGTAGAGAGGAGGAGGAAACGGAGAGTCGTCCGCTCTTGCCTTTCCAGCAGCCTCAGGTCTCCGGTGGCTGAAAATACTTTCTGTTAATTTAGACGTCTATTTTTAGGCTTTATTTCCTCTATCAGTGTCTGTAGCACTTGTGTCTGCAAACCTTTAAAAGCTAAGAGCTTAAGGTGGGGCATACCTGGGTTAAGGCTTCCCGCACTGTCGTATTTAGTCCTTACGCCCTGGTCAGGCAGTGATGTTGGCGCCCGTTTTATAGATGAAGAAACGGGAGCGCAGGGGGACTAAGCCTTGCCAGGATCACCTGGCAAGTGGGTGGCAGAAGGGGGTTCAGAGCAGGCCTGTGTTTTCCCAGCACAGCGCACGCACTGCCTCCCGCGCTAAGAAGGAGAGCGACCGGCCCTCCTTTGTGGAGACCGTATGGGTTTCAGTAGTGACCCCCAGGCAGCTGGGAGTCGTTTCTGTGCCCTGTGAAAGGACCCCAAACCTGAGGCACAGCCCTCGTCTCTAGTCCGCTCCTCACTCCCTGAGGGGACCCTTGGGGCGTTCCAGGCTTTGCCCCAGTGGAAAACTTGCACAGTTGCTTTGAGAGAAAGGAGGAGATCGACATCATCCCTTATATGTGATTAATGCTGGACGAGCTCGTACACACGCAGTGCTGGTGTCACAGTGTCCTCCTCCTTTGGGTGGCACTGACATCCTTAGGGTCCTCGGCCCCTCTTGCTGAGGGCAGCCCCCCGAGCCCCTTGTGCCCGACAGGCTTCCTAATCACTGCCCTGGGTGCCCACAGGGAGCACCAGCCTGCGAGCGTCTCCAGTGATGCCGCTGCCCCTTTCTCTGAGCTCTTGGGCTGCTTTTGAAATGGACCCCTCTTCCTTATTCCTCCGGTCGCGAGCCTCACTGCTGTTTCTCTGCTTGGTTAGCCGGTCCCTGCGAGGACTTCGTCAGTTCGGGTCTTGTGGAAGCTTCCCATCTGAGTCCGCCACAGAGGGTTGTGTGCAGTCTTTGTAGGGGTCACTCGGTAGGCGTGTGGGGTCCCCTTCAGAGGCTTGCGTCTTCCTCTGGGGCCTCATGGTGTTGGTGCCGCATGGAAGGAGAGCCTCACGGGGCTCAAGGGGGACAGTGAGGTGCGCTTGTGGCAGCTGTCCCCTCCGGGCGAGACTGCCTTTACGTACCGCGTTTTACAGCCACGCTCTGCTCAGTGCTTGTCGGAGTGAAGGCCCTTATACCGGTTCTTTTCAATCCCCCTTTTGGTGAAGGACATCAGAAAGACATCCCCCAAGAGAGGCATTCCCTGTCTACCCTCAATGTGGAGACTATTTGAAAACACAGAATTAAGCCCTGCAAAATTGTCCTGGCCACTTTTTCTTGGTATCTAGCGGGTGCTCATAGCGCTTGTGACATGACCCAAGAGGACAGCACCCAGCTCCAGATGGTGCCTTCGCTGGCATCCCTGTGCCTGCCACACACGCACCTAAGCTCCCTTGCTTCCAAACCTGGACGCTTTTCCTTCCCAGCTCCCGTCGTCGCCGGTTCCCCCATGGCGCGTGCACAGCGGCCCCGTAAGTACGTTGATCGGCCCTCGTTCCTAACTCGTGAATCAAGGAGGCATAACAGCACCTGCCCTTCAGCCATGGGCGTGTTGGTGTTGGCCGGGGATCCCCTGCTCTCAGGAGCGTCCTCCACTGCCGAGAGAAGAGAAAGGCAGTACTGCATTCCGGGCCGGCCTTGACCCAGACTTTGCCACGGGGAGTGTCACTAGAACGTGCAGGTTCTAGTCCCACAGAGAGACGGGGATCGGAGAAGGCCTTCCTGAGGATGCCAGAGGGCTGGACACAGGTCCAGACGGTCGCTTTCCCGAACCCGTGGAGTCGTCAGAAGGGCCTGGCTCTGGAGGTGGGGCTTGGATCACCCGAAAAGTCAGGAGCGAGGCGCATACTGATGCTCGCACCCGAGGCCCGAGGCCTCTGTGCCTGCCTCAGGAGAGGGTGCCTGTGAGGACGGGTCCCTGAGACGTCTCGCCTCCCCGCGTGGGTGAGGCCCCTGCTGGCATCTGCTGCCGGGGCCGCTCCGGTGATGCCACACGGCTCAGGCGAGGGAGCCTGTCCCTGGGCGGCCGCACAGCTACGGGCTGTGCCACCGTGAAGCGGCCGCTTGATGGCAGGTGGCAGGGCGGCAAGGGCTGGGGTTTCTGGAAGGATGTTTAGGGAGGAGAGGACGCACGCATTTGAATTCAAACACGTCTTTCTTTGCAGTTTGTCTCTCGCCCGAGACGTTCTGTGGCCTCTGGGCTGGAAGGGGGGAACGGAGTTTAGCGGCTGTTACTTGTTTACCCAGTGGGTGCGTTACAAGACCCACCCCGGGGCCGCCGCCTGGTTTAGCAGGGACTCAGCCGGGATGGAGGACACGTGTTTCCTTCACTCATTCATTCTGCAAATATCTGTGGACATCTGCGGCGTGTCACGTGCTGACGATGCAGCCGTGGACCCGGCGGACCCTTATGGTCCCTGCCCTCCAGGGGCTTCAACTCGAGTGGGAGGCAGTAAGCCCTGTTACATCAGCTTTAAAAGTGTATCCTGCATCAAACCACTCTCCCCGCCTCCGCCCACCCCGCAGTCTTTCGCCCGAACCACCACAGAGGCCCCGCGTTGTTTTCTCAAGACAAAGCGGCCGTGGGCAGGCCCCGAGGGGAGCCCTTGTTGGTCCTCGCCTCCGCGGCATCCCTGCCCCTTTCCCACAGCCTCTCGTGACCCCCCCCAGGCGACTGCCTCGCTCCTTCCAGTCTCCCCTTGCTGGCTCTGCTCTGCTCACCGCACCCTGGGCCTGGCCTCGGCCTTTGCTGGCCTGCAGGCTCAGTGCAGAAGTCCTTCACGTGGCTCATCCGTGCTCGGGAGAAGCGCCCGCCACCAGCCCGCTCTGCTGTCCACCCCCCTGGGCGCCTCTCTCTCCGGGTCTGTCTCCTGCCTTGTGGGAGGGTGTAGGCCTCAGGTGGGCAGAGGACTTGTTTGCTGGCCCCTGTGAGGCCCCGGCAGCTGAGCCGGTGCCCGACGCGTTGGTGCTCCTGGGACAGTCCCGCAGACGGCTCAGGACACACTGTGGGAAGGGCTGAGTGGCCACAAGGGGGAGAAGGTGGGGCTGCCGGGCAAGCGACTGGTGAGGAGCCCCTGGGGACGCCGAGCCACGAGCAAGGGAGGAATGTGCCCGGCAGGACTGGGAAGAGCAGGGAACAGCATGTGCACACGTCCCAGGTGTCCCAGGTGCGGGAGGAGGCGGCAGCTGGGGGGGGGGGGGGGGCGCAACAGGGCCAGAGACCCCCAGGGCTTGTCAGCAGGGAGGTGGGGGCCCCAAGATGCTTTTATATTTTTTAATTTTTTTTTAACGTTTTTATTTATTTTTGAGATAGAGCATGAATGGGGGAGGGTCAGAGAGAGGGAAACACAGAATCCGAAACAGTCACCAGGCTCTGAGCTGTCAGCACAGAGCCCGAGGCGGGGCTCGAACTCACGGACCGCGAGATCATGACCTGAGCCGAAGTCGGCCGCCCAACCGACTAAGCCACCCAGGCGCCCCAAGATGCTTTTTAAAAAAGAGGCTTTATTTCTTAGAGCTCAGCGACACTGAGCGGGAAGTACAGGGAGTTCGCGCGTGTCCCTGCCCCCACACGCCCGGCCTCCCCGCTGTCACCGGCTCCACCAGAGCGCCACACGTGGGTCGCCCAGCCTGCAGGGTCGCGCCGGCCTCGGCCCGAGCCACGGTTTCCGTAGGGCTCCCTCTTGTCGTGTTTCCAAAGCTCCTGGCCTGGTGTGGCGGGCCCGCGGGGACGGGTCGGGGTGCGGAGGGGGCGCGCTGGCGGGGGACCCCCGCTCACGGCCAGGGCCCCGCCCGCTCTCCGTCTCGCAGTGCTGGCCTACATGCAGCTGCTGGAGGACTACTCGGAGCCGCAGCCGTCCGTGTTCTACCAGACGCCGCAGAACGAGCACATCTACCAGCAGAAGAACAAGCTCCTCATGGAGGTGTACGGCTTCAACGACTCCTTCAGCGCCGAGGCCCCGCAGGAGCTGGCCCCGCCCCCCGCCCTGCCCCCCAAGCAGCGGCAGCTGGTAAGCCGCGCTCTGCTTCCGGGGCCCGGGCCGTGCGTGCCGTGCGTGCCACGCCGGGTGCCACGTGGCACTCTCACTTCCTCCTGGCCGGCTCACGGGCCTGCTCCTCGGCCTCCCCGCCCCGGGGGTGGTGGCGCCCTCGCTTCCATTGCCGCCCCTGCAGCTGGGCCTGGCTTGTGCTCAGAATGTTTGCTTTCTCTGCCGACGGTCTCGTGTTTTCTCCTCTCTTCTTTGGCTCCACTATAGACCTCCCAGAAAGGAGGGACTCCATCAAAGCACAGGGCATGGTCTGTGCACGGCCATCTGTGAACTTGATTTACATAATGGCCTCGCTACACAGGGTGACTTACACCCCACCCTGGCCAGGGATGGCCCCGTGGAAACAAGCCCTATTGAAGCACGATGGCCGTAAACAGAGCCGTTCTGTGTCCCAAGCACGGTGCCCCTCCTCCCCTGAAAACACTCCTGTGTGAGGATTCCCTATAGGTAATGAAGCCCCGGTCGGCACAGAAGGCCGGCTGTCCTGCGTGGGCAGCATGTGAGATTCCGGGACTGGGCAGGGGGGGCGGGGTGTGCCTGCTGCCCGCCTCTGAACCCTGTTCTCCCTGCTGCCGGTTTCCTAACCACGTGGACTGTGGTCAGGTTGTAGCATCCAGGCATCTCATCCGGCCGTGCTTTCCGGGAGGAGTGCACCTCCGAAGGGGATTCTTGTTCAGAGCTGCACGTGCCGTTTTGGTCATGGGCTGGCCAGCCTGGTGGTGTTTCCACCGCAGAGGTGACCGGCTAGCTGGCCATCTTTCGTCTGTCCTGAGGGGACACAAAGGTGCCACCCTTCCCTTGCTGGGAGGCAACTGCTGACTGGACAACCAAGGTCCCCAGGTCACTCCCCGAGCCCCCGCCCGCAGGGTCCCTGAGCCCACGTTCAGTGAGCTCAGGGGCCGACAAGGCAGGAGCACGACTAGCCTGCTGGGAGACAGCTCGGTCTGTCAGAGGAAAGGCAGCACCCGCCCTGGGTTCTTGGCCTGCCACTGTCTAGCCGTGTCTCACGACTCAGACTCAGGGTCTCAGTCCTTCACCCACCCTGCCCACCCCCACGAACACCCAAATGTGCCCCAATGTGAATCTGAATTACTCTGAAAACGTTTCAAAAAGGGATCTTTACCATGGAAATAGAAATGCCTGCCGCATGGACCCCTAACCTAAAATGTTTGGTTGAGCAGCCGAACCAGATTTCATGGAGATCTGAGACAGTCTCGGCCCCTCCTGCCAGTGTCCACAGGTGCCCCTTGGCATCTTCTCCGCACCGTGGAGCCCACAGGCTTCACACACATCCCTAGTGAGCACGCTTGGAACCAGAGCCCGTCCGGGAGCACCCGCGGAGCACCTCACCATGCTGGCAGGGCAGATGCTCGGCTGAACGCCTCCCTATGTCAGCACTGGGGCTTCTGTCTGGTTTCCCATGATCCTCTCCACAGCCTCTATCACCCCCGTGTTAAGTAAACTGAGGCTGAGAAAGCCAGAGTGACTTAACTGGAGCCTACCCACTGCTGGAAGTAGAAGATGCGGGGACCGAGCCCAACTCTGGCTGAAGCCCCGACACGGCATGTGACGTGCCCTGTGCCGACTGCTTGGCGTGCCCGCTCTCAAATGCAGGTGCAGGGAGGACTCTCTCCGTTTTACCAGCAAAACAGTAGTGATCACTGTGCCCGTCAGCCCACGTACAGTGTGGCAGTCACAGTCGAGTGCCTGACACATACGTGGTCCCAGACAGCGTTGTCCCCGCTTTACGGATGATGAACCTGAGGCACAGAGAGCTTAAAATAATGCCCGAGGCCAAGCAGGTCACGAACAGTGAGGCCCAGGTTCAGAGCTGGATGGCCTGGTCCCAGGAGTGCACGAACTCCACTGGAGCATAATGACTGCTTGGGTTGCTCCCACGGAGGAGGAAGAGGTCCTGAGTAGTAAGTGGAAGAAACGGGATTCAGAGCCAGGTCCATGGGGCTCCAGGCCCTCTTGGCCTCCTTGTACCTTACAACCACTTCCAGCGGATGCGACTTGTACGAAAGTTCGCTTTTTAAATCTGTCGCGAGGAGGTGAAGGAGGGCACCCTCTCATCCGGGTAGCCCTCAGCAGGCGTCTTTGATTCCTAAGCTGAGCGGAGAAGCCGTCCCTCTCCAGAGTGTCCGAGCAGACTTAGGTAGCAGCCTAGGTATGCTTCTCGTATACCTGCCTGACCGTTCTCTGCTTTTCTCCCTCCTTCCCTGTCTTCTCTCTCGTCCCTTCTGTCCAGCAGGCCTCCTATGCTGCTTCTTCCTTCTCCTCTGTCTCCTACTGTGTCCAGCAAACTAAAGTGGCCTTCACCCCCGAGGACGGCAGTGCCACTCAGGGCATCAGTGTGTCCGTCTCTAACTCCTTTCTCAGCCGGCACGGCAACTTGCCCGTGCCCTCGGTGAGTCGCTCCCCGCTGCTCTTTCTCAGAAACGTGAGTGCGATCTTTCGTTTGTCGCCTGTGCCTGCTGATGTGTGTGCTGCCACCCAGGCCGGACTCTGTCCTCCTGCAGACCCTGCACAAGGGGGAAGGGGCGTGCGCGGTTGGCTCTCTGGGGCCTAAGGACTGTGTGAAGTGTTGGGGTGGATGAGGTGGGGGTGGGGATGGGGGAACGTCGGGAGCCCCGCTCTGAGCCTCACTGCTCAGGCGGAAACTGGCAGAGTGTTTTGGCCTTTTTATTTTGATCTCCCTTGGGCCTTGGGTCAGCCCTGTAAGTGTTCTGTGTTGAAGAAGAAGTAGTCTTTGCACAGGAAGCAAGGCCAGAGAGAGCAGGCTTCACCAGGCTGTGACGGAGTTTGAGTCTGAGTCTGGGGACCCTGTGTGACAGGCCATTCCAGAACTCAGTGGCCTAAGATGACGGTAACCACTTGGCATTGCTTAGGACACAGGTCAGTCGGCTGACTGCTGATCTGATTTTGGCTGACCTAGCTAATCTCTCCGGAACCTCAGCCAGGACCGCGGGCTGATTTGTGGTCCTCATGACCCGCTAGCCTCCGTGAGGCTAGCCCGGGCTTGCTCCTGTGGCAGCTGGCGGGGCTCCAAGGGAGCAAACGGAAGCACGCGAGGTATCTTAAGGCCTAGGCTCGGAATTGGCACCCTGTCACTTTCTTGCATTCTCTTGGTTGAATCACGGGGCCGGTCTGGATTCGGGGAGTCGGGAGGTACACTCGGCCTCTTGCGGGGGGGGGGGGGGGGGGGTGCTCCAGCAGATCATGTTGCAGAGGGACAGACGTGGACAGAGGAGGGGAATGGGTGCAGCCATTGCTGTGAACGGTTTACTTCTGAAACTTAGGGGACACTGACAGTGGAGGAGGCACGGTGCCGGTCTGTCATCTTTTGCTGGAATCTCCATCTGTCCAGGAACCGAAAAAGCTACAGTTCTGCGTTTAATTTGTTGAAATGGGACTGAGCAGCAGGGATAGAACACGGACAGGGGTTCGTCTGGGTCCTCCTTAAAATCAGTTCTGCCTTTGGGTAATTTACCTACTCTTTTTGGCCTTCACTTCTTTCCATTGAGGTTATGCTTTTACTTGTCTCTTATTTTGTGATTGTAGGGAGTAAGTAAAATCATAGGAAACTAACTGCCAGGCACATGGTAAGCTTAGAAATGTACTATCATAGCGCTTGCTCTCAGAGCTCTGGATTCTAGTCTCTGCTCTGTCCTAATCCTGCGCATGAGAGCTTGGACGGACGACTTAACCTCATGGTCAACCCAAATGGACTTCCTTTTCCCTCTGAAACCAGTGAGGTTGACCTGGTGACTCTCAGAGAGAGACCTACCAAAGCTCAGGTTCCCAGTGTGGTCCTGTCTGGTTTCCGTCTTTGGGAACCACCTATCCAGGGCCCGGGTCGAGATGGTCCTGCCTGCGGTGAGGAATGCACTGTTCTTTTGGGTGCTGGGGCCTAACTCTTGAGAGCCCTCGGCGGCCCTGTGCTTGCTACGGGAAGGCCACACAGCCTCCCTGCCTCCTCCCGGCCCTGCCCTGGCACACAGACGCCCTCTGTTTCCTCAGCAGGCACTTCTGGTGAGTTTCTTTCACAAATCGTGCAGAACTTGGCCTTTAGACAATCCAGCTCTTGACCGTTTTTTCCCCTCTGTGAACAGAAGGAAAGTGTGAGTTATCCTAAGAAAGCGTCCACAATGTCCCTTTTGAATGGTTTGGGCTTAGGGGGCTGTCAGTGAGCTGCTCTGTTTACTCCGGAGTTGATGAAAGTTTGAGGGCATTTTAATGAAGCCTGGGCTTGAGTATGTCCCAGTTTCCAGCCCCGGGACGTAGGGGAGTCCCCAGACGCCTCGCATCAGAAAGACCACATTCTGCGTACCAACTCCGCAGCAGAACCCAGGGGAATGAACTACTAAAGGTGCTTTATTTCCGAAAGGGAAAGTCCCCCACCCTACTCCCGCCTCCAGAGCTGTTAGTAATGGCCTGAAGGTTTGGAACGTTTGACATCTGGCACGCTGACCCCCTCTCCCGCAAAGTGGCGGTGTATTGCAAGGCCAACATCTTTGTGTATTTCCTACTTGCCTTCTGAGATGAGCCCAAGTGGAGGGCTTTGGGTGGCGCTCAGAGCGGCCCGTTATTCCCAAATCTCCTCGCTCTGTCTCTCCTGGGCCTCTGTCGTCAGTCCACCACAGAATTCTGAAGGGACGCCATTTAGGGGTACGGCAGTTGTCAAACCCGAAGACCCCTCACCCTGTCAGCGACCTGTTACTCCTACCAAAAGATTCTTGAATTGGAGCAGGACGGCTGCATTGACCAAGCATAATTGAAACGGGGGCTGAAAAAGCCTCTTGTTCGCTCTTCCTGGTGTTCCGGGTTGAGTTTAATTCAGCGAGCGCACGGGTTCTCCTCGTGCAGGGGTCCGCAGCGGCCCGGTAGGCAGAGTACAAGCATGGGAGAGGCTCATGCTGAGGCAGGGTGTGCGTAAGCCCGATAGAGTCACAGGCTGTCGGAACCATCGGGGCCGTGGAGCCAGGACAAGGACAGAGCCTCCTGGGAAAGGTGGCACTCGGGCCGTTGCCTGAAGGACAGTTAGGATTTCCGGGAGATAAAGGGCAAAGGTCAGGGAAAACAAGTCCAAGATGTTCCACGCCACGGATGTTCTATCCTGCCTGGAGGGTGGGGGCCTCCTATGCATTCTGGAAGGTCACCGCAGGTGTAAGCGCTCAAGGAGTGAGGTTATGGGGCAGCTGGCTGAAGGGTAGTGAGCCAGCCGGCCCTCCCCCGTGTGCTTAGCGTCGCACACCTTCACTGCAACGGACCTTTTCCCCCGAGGCTCCTTCCTGAGCATGGCCCTTGGGGGCCACACCAGGGGGTGCTCACACTCTTCCTGGCATCTTCCACTGTGTCTGCCCAGCTCTCGTCCCACAGAAGCCTTCGCTCCCAGTCCACAGACTTCCCGTCCTGCCCAGCTCGTGCTGCGTCCTGAAACTTGGACATCTACCCAGACAGGCATGTGGTCTCTGGGCTGTTAGATAGAGGAAGGTGTTCAGGGACATGAGGAGTGAGCGAGTGAGAGCCAGGAAGGATGCGGAGAGCCAGGCGCAGGGAGGCCGGGTCCCCCCGTTCCTGATAGGATTCCGCCGGGCCTTGGCAATGTAGCTGGCCCCGGAAGGCACTTCAGTGATGTGCCTTCCTACAGACAGCTCTCTGACCTGATAGTGGGGTCCTCCCTTTCTGTCCCCAGAGTCTCTCTCTCACTTACTGGTACCCCCCCCCCCGGGCTGCCTGCCCTGTCCTCCCTGCAGCCCCACCATGCTGGCCGCCCGCCCTCCGCCTCCACTCCAGTTCCGGTCCTTCCGGCGGCAGCCCTCCCCGCTCCGCACTGAATCCCCAGGTCCCTCCTCTGGCTTGCTTCGGCTTTGCCTCTGAACGCTGGTCTTGTGACTCTAAAAAGGATCTTAAAAGTTGGATCGGGTCTGTATGCACTTGACCCTCGACCAGGGTGTTGAAAACCTCCCAGCAGCCCTCAGGGTTGCCAGTGCCCTTCAGGGCTTGAAATGTTGACGTTAGAACAGTCACCTTCCTCCACCCCCAGACTGGTTTCTGGTACAGCCCTTCTCCGCTGACTGCAAGGCGCAGGTATTTTACCCCCAGAAGATGGACTCAGGTGCTGGGAATGTGTTGAAATGCTTCTTTACCATCTTGGCTTCCGGAATGATTCTGGAAGTAAAACTGCTGAGAGACCCAGGTTTTGAGGAGAACTTGAGAGGGACCCATGATAACTGTCATTTATTTGAAACATTTTTAGGGTAAGAACATCCAGTGCGTATCGTCTCTAAGACTTCAGTGAAAAAGGACGGGGGAGGGTGGGCAGAGCGGCTGGTGTCCCGTCCTGGGCAGAGAGTGAGTCTCTGAGGTGTTGAACCCAGGTTTTTGCACGTCGGCACAAATGCTTTCACTGGAAGGCCTGCTTCGTGGACCGTGTTCCTCTGCCGTGCCTTCCCCTCACAGTGCGACGGCAAGGGCCCACTCCCTGAGACACGTGGAGGCCCCTGAAGTCCCACGAGTGCCTTTGTCTCTCGCCTTTGCTGCCATGAACGGCAGCCCAGCGGCTGTCACAGAGACCGTGGGCTGAAAGAGCGGTCTGGCGAGCAGACAGGAAGTGAAAGTGCGGAGGACAGACGGTGGAGTGGGGAAGCGGGGGAGAGTGGCCGGGAGCTCAGGCTTGCTGGGCTGGGCCCCGGTGTGTGCCTTGTGCTGGAAGAGAGAAGTCCCTGGCTTCCTCGGAAGCCTCTGTGCCTTGCCGCTTCCTGATGTTGACTCACCTCTGTGCTTTCCTGACCTGCGTAGACCTCCCTCACTTTGAGAGATGAGAGCGGGGGAGGGGGTGGGCGACGCTGGCGGCCCAGGGACGGGGGGTACCTCTCCGAGCTCCAGCTGTCCTGGCTGGGGCTCCGTTCCGCTGGCCTGCCAGACTTGCCAGGCTCTCCCTCAGAGTGGCCCAGCCCCGCCGTCACAGGGAGAGCCAGGCCTCTTGGTCGCGTGGTCCTTCCTGGCCTGTCGGGGTTTCACACCCCGGAAGTCATGGGCTCGTACACTGCCCCGTTCTTGGGGGCCGTACCACCGAGTAGGGTCCTCAAGGTGCAAGTGCGGGCGCCTCGCCAGACCCGGACTCGTCCCCCTGGGATTAGGAAGTAGACCCCACAGGCCCAGCCGAGCCCCTCCGCCCCCATCCTTGTTGTCTCTCGGAACGTTTCCGCCGTCCCCGAGCTGCCCAGGCAGGAAGCGAGGAGCTGTCTTTCCTCCCCGGCCACACACGTGCCACGTTGACCTGTGACGTGCCCCGCCGCTCACCAAGCCCTGCTGTGCGTCCTGGCCTGGGCCCTGAGCCCCTCGCCTCCAGCCCTGTCGCGGCTTCCCTCTCCCCGCCCCCCGCACGGCTCCTGTGGCCTCCCC